CTTAATTATTTCTTTGACCTCCTCGTATGCCTCCATGAGGATTTGTGCCTCCGACGGGGAAAAGTACGCCGCTCTAGTTGCCATGGTGAATCAGTGAATCTGTGATCGGTGGCGGGTCTATTTGAGTGAGCCGTGAACGCGCACATATCCAGGATTGGTTACACCTGGCTTGATGAATCCGTGTCTGCTCATCCTGGCTTGGTCTTTGTGCAACCAATTAAGCCTGGACGCACGTGTTTTGGATTCATTGAGCTCAGCTCAGTCATTTATCCTGGATGTCTTAATTCTACTTTTGTGCAACAGGCCCCAGGGCTGAGAAATGAAGCCAGTTAAGTGCCAAAACCTGCAGTTCCTCGAATGGCCACTTGAGGCTGACTCCAAACAGACTCCCATGTTAAAATGTCCAACTTTACAGCAGGAAGAAACATGTTTCCAGCCTGGTACAAAAATAAGTTTGGTGATGTTATTCTTGCAGTGATCATAGGAGCTCACTGAACAATAATCCATGATGCTATGTGTGTTGCAACTTAATCTTATTATAACTTTATAATCACTTACCTTATTGAAAAATGTGTTTCTATTATGTCTCCTCCTCATGTATTGTATGGTATATCCTCATTTGATGTAGCTGTATAGAAACTGTAAGTCAGATATCTTGTGTTTCTGCTGCAGTCTGCAGCCCTCTCAACTCTCCACCGCACTCTAATGAAAATTTAATGAGCTTCAGTGAAATGAAGTCTCATTACAGAATGCCATATGATACCATCAGTGCTATTAAAGCAGACAGTAATCATTCATCACTTCCAACAATGTTATCATTATTAATTTACACTCTGTTCTTATCTATGCCCATATTCTTCTTTACTCATCTATAGTATGTCTTCCTCCATGTGCACTGCAATCATTCTTTTCTCTCCTGCTCTTACTGATGCACAACACACACGTCAGGCCTTTTCTTTCTGTCTTTTGGCTTATATTGTTTTCATTTCTCCATATGTGTAGAACTACAAGGAGCTGGAGTTGCTGAGGCTGGTTTACTATGGCGGAGTGCAGCATGAAATCAGGAAGGAGGTCTGGCCTTTCTTGCTGGGACATTATAAATTTGGCATGGGCAAAAAAGACATGAGCCAGGTATAGCATGCACACACACACACACACGGTGTTAATTTGTTTCTAAACTGGGAAAGCAATGTGTGATTGCCTTTGTTTCCTGTAAAGATTGATGCAAAGATCAGTGAGCACTACCAGCAGGTGATGCGGGAGTGGAAGGCCTGTGAGGTGATCATCAAGCAGAGGGAGAAGGAGATGCATTCAGCCATCTTTTCCAAGCTCTCCTCAGGCAGCAGCATCGATAGTCACGTCCTGCAACTGGTTCACAGAGACTCCACACTGAGCAATGAGGTGAAGAAGACACAGTGTGACATTTAACATAAACAGGCATCAACCAGGTGTCTGAGTAAATCTGTATATTCTATACTCTACAATATAATGCTGTTTGATCTAAAGAGTGTCAAGTGTATTCATTATGATTTTTACTGAGAGTTAGGACTCAATAAACCACAAACTGCACTATTGTGCAGGTACTGAATGCAGGATATTAATAATACAACATTTCTGAACATTTCATCTTTGTCTGCCAGTGATTTTCCTAATTTCTCACTGTGCTTTACATGTCACCTTATTTCAGCATGAGGAAATGATAGTTTCAGATAACCAGTAAGAGCTCAGTAAAAGTTCCCAGCAAGTAAAATACATACTTACATACTTGTGGTAGTGCTACATCCTCACCAGTTCCAACAGCCATGTTCTAGTTTTATACTGCATGTTTCTAAGCAGCTTTTGAGCACACTGTGTGTTCCCACCATCAAATTAAATATACTCTCAGTAGTCAGTATGTGTACTACAAAAGACTTTTGAGTATTGTTTTGATTTGTTGATGACACTGTTGCACCACAGTAAATGTAACAAAAGAAACACCTGCAGTGTTTTTAATCCTTGACAGTGGCATTCTAAAGCCAGTTTTACATATACAAAACTGTATACTGTGTACATGCAGTGTACAAGTTGTATGTAACACAACAAATCACACAATCATAGGTTGTAGGTTGCATGTCCCAGCAGGAAGCTTCAGATAAGCTTATGGAAAGGTTAGCTGCTCTATTCCGTGCAAATCAAATAAAAACTAAAAATTAAATTAAGCATTTTAAAACACATATGTAGTATAAATGTAGTGGCAGTTATTCTGCTTCATCTTAATGTTACAAAAGCTGATTGATTTTTTTTCTGACTTGTTGACTTGGCAGTGGTTCGTTCACTGGGGAAAGTCAGCTCCAGGACACTGGGTGTACTTTATATACAAAGTTTATTAGTTTGAACAACCAGATGAAAAACATCTATTGGATCAACTCAATAAGGGGATGAGGATGAGCTGTAGTTAGGGTAGGGCAGAGGGAAGGTTGTAAACAGAAGCAAGAAAACAGTGATTATGCTAGTGAGACATAAACCATATAAACCACATGTCCTGTAACCTGCAACATGCCATCTGTAGGTGTTTATGTCAGTAGATGATCCGGACGCAGGGAGCCAGGAGACCCCCAGTGGAGAGGACAGCAATCCCACCATGACCACCCTGGTCCCCCCTGTTGCCCTCCCCCCAGAGGAGCGTCCTCTGGTGGAGTTTGATTCCCCTGACTCGGGTCTGCCCTCCAGCAGAAACTACTCAGTAACCTCTGCTCATTCCCAAATCCTCTCAAGTATAGATGACAGTCAGAGCACAGAAGAGGAAGGAGGGGGTGGGGAGGGGGGCAGGACTCCAGGTATGCTGGAGGAGTGTCAGGACTCTCTGGCTGAGGCTAGGCTGTGCAGTCAGCTGGACAAACTGGTGATCAGTGGAGCGGCTGCTGAGGGGTGTTCTCCATCACTCTCCTCATATACGGTGCGTACAGTATGTTCATCTGTCTGCTTATTTAATTTGATTGAACAAGTCTGCAACGAGTGGAGGCAGCTGTCACACACCAAGTATTTGACTGAATGAATGAAATGCTAATGATTTTGCTGCTGATGTGGAGCTTATGTCCAGTTATTGCTGAAGGTGGCAGTGGGAAGGTTATGTGGTCTTTAAAATCAAAAGGAATTATGTGGTTGAGGTCATGGATGTGGAGTTGATCCCATTTGGGGACAGTTATGCTCAACAAATTATGGTCACTTGTTTTTGAGAAATGAACCAAAGTAGTAGATGGACAGAGCTTCCTAGTAGTAAAACATAAAAATGCCAAAGAAAGACCAACAACTTTTAATTTACAGTCACTTACTGTTGTTGACAACAGTGTTTCCTTTGTACAGATTGAGCTGTTGGACACAGTTGCCCTGAACCTCCACAGGATAGACAAAGATGTGCAGCGCTGTGACCGAAACTATTATTACTTCACCACAACCAACCTGGAGAAACTCCGCAATATCATGTACAGGCATGTGGAACGAATGTTGGGTTCTTCATTTAGAGATGTGATAATATTCAGTTGGTTTTTGTTTTTGTGCAAGACGTGCAAGACAAGCTTGTGGTGAGAACCCACAAAGAGTTATCACTAAGTCCACCCTGCAATCCTCTCAGCTCTAGCTTTTTTTTCAGGCCTTTGTTTTAACACTCATCAGGGTAATTTTCTGCAGCAGCAGGCAGCTGTTTCCAGCACAGTAAAGACTGTGATAAACCCCCTGTGCACTGCCTGCCCAGTAGCTGTGCTCACAGTGGCACATTTTGCTGCTAAAGAGCCAAACCTTTTCTTCAGGAGTTGGTGGAGAGGAAAACAGAGCTAAGAGTGAATATTGGACATGCAGTGGCTCCAGAATGTATTCCCACCCCTCAACTTTTTGCATACTTCATTGTGTTGTTGAGTTAACTTTAAATAGATAAAATTGCCATTGCCACAGAACAAATGTTTCCATAGCCTTAATGAAGTACTTGTAGAAGCCCCTGTGGCTGCAGTTACAGCTATGGGTGGCTTTGAACAGTGTGGCCCATTCTTCCTGACAGATCAGATTGGATGGTGAGCGTCTGTGGACTGCACTCTTCAGGTGTCTCCACAGATGTTGTATGGAGTTTAAGTCTGGGCTTTGGCTGGGTCATTCAAGGACAGTTAGACACCCTAGTGTGTCATCCCAGGTCATGTGCACTCTGCAGGTTTTCTTCAAGGACTTATTAACAGGTGGTGCTCACCAGACGTGTTGCTTGGAGTTCTGTCCAGAGAGCTAGGCTTTTGTCTATTCAGACCAGAGAGTCTTTTTTCTTATTATCTCAGAATCCTTTAAATGCTGACAACTCCAAGCAGCTGTCTTACTCACAGATTCCTGTGTCCAGCCAGTCTACTATAAAGGCCAGATTGATGGAGAGTTGCTGAGATGGTCGACCTTCCAGCAGGTTCTCCTGTCTCTGCAGAGAACTTCTGAAACTTATTTAGAGGGACTGTTTGGTTCTTGGTCACGTCCTTGACCAAGACCTTCTTACTCAGTTTCGCTGGATGGCCAACTTTAGAAAGAGTCCTGGTGATTATAGACCTCATCCACTTCACAGTCACTGAGGCCACTGTGCTCCTGGGAATACGCAAGGACTTAGACCTGACAGCTGCCATGTGAGTTACGTAATGGGACAGTGCACGCACCGGGCAGAGAACATGGAATTCTTTCTCTGACTCATCTCTTTGAAGTGGAGGAAAGAACCCATCCAGGGAAAGGACTCTGGATGAAAAGAGGATGTTATTATTTTGAACATAAGCAGGATTTGGTCTCAGAACGGCTGAGCTGCCATCTTCAATAAGATAAGAAGGCACGCCGGTGAGACAGACAGTGCGCTCGCTTAGCTGAAGTCAGGGCTAAGAGAAGTGCTGTTTTCAGAGAGAGATGTTTAAGAAATATTTTTGTTATGGGCTCAAAGGGAGGTTCCCTCAGAGCGCATAAGACCAGAGGTAAGTTCCACTGTGGTGTCACTGAACGTACCACTGGTCATTGTCTGCAACTTAGAAAATGTTTCACCGGCAGGTGTGCAAACACAGTTCTCTCACCGAAACCTTCATGGCATGATGAGATGGCAGCAACATAAGCTTTCGCAGTAGACAGGGCCAAATTTCTGTCTACCAGAGTCTGTAGAAAAATTAGCACTTGAGCCAGTGGGCAAGAAGTGGGAGCTGTGCCTCTTTCCATGCACCATCTTTGAAAAGCAGACCATTTTGCTGTGTAAGATGCTGTTTTTGATGGCGCTCTCGCATACTGATTTGTGTGTACAACCGCTGGAGGCAAACCTAGGCTCTCCAGTTGCTCCCATTTAGGGGCCAGGCCCACAGCCACTGTCCTATCACAGGGAACC